GTTTAGGGGTTAAGGTTTAGGGTTAGCTTTCCCAGCTGATGATCAGAGACTGGGTTGCAAAAAAGTTTAGGGTTAGGGTTTAGGGGTTTGGGATTAGGGTTTATGGGGTTCAGGGTTTGGGGGATTGGGTTTAGGGTAAAGTTTAGGGTTTATAGGATTTAGGGGATAGGACTTCGGGTTTAAGGGTTCAGTGCCTTTTAGGGTTTAGAACATTACGTTCCGTTCCTTTGCAGGGGTCCTGATGATCGAGTGGTATGCTCTTGAGAGAGGGGCCCAGAACGGCCCAACTTTGACCGAGAGAACCCCCCCCCCATTCTTTGCAGGCATGTACAAGTGCATGTCGGTTGAGTTGACCGATCGTTACGTCGGGGCAGGATCGTATTGTTTGGCCTCCATGTGCATAGAATCAGATTCGTCATGTGACCGTTTTTGGCGTTGATGGGTTGATTGATAGGGTAGTCAGATGGTTAGTTAGTCCGATTGACTGCTTGCTCGCATGATTTCTATTGAGTCATTGAGATTTACTTGTTCCTTCCTTTGCCAAGCCAATCCTGCTAAGATGGTGGGCTCCGTCGAATGGGCTGCAGGAGCCGGCGATCCTGCAAGATCAGGGGTAAGGTTCGAGTCATTTTGGAACAGGGAAGCAGAGGACTGTCGTAGCAGCGCGGCATTTGCATTCGTAGTGCTATATTGCAGGAGGTAGTTCACAACATCAGCAGCGATGTGGCATGCAGAAGGGCTGAAATTCAATACGGCACTCTCGGACTTCGTCCATCGTGTCAAGTGGCAGGCTCTGCTCGTGAAGTCGAGTTGTAGTTTTGTAGTAACAGTTGGCACATTACTGTAAGCGGTCTGCTGTTTGTCGGCCTTCCAACATTGCTGTTCTGAAGTCATACTCCTGTTGCGCTGCGCTGGGAGTCTCACCGGTATCGGGCTTCGAATCTGTGCAGTTTGAGCCCTATGACCTCCTCATAGCTTTGCTGATACCAATCTAGATCCATTGGACGCACATTGTCTTGTGAGCCCCACGCCGATTGCAGGAGATTGCCCTTCACTCACCTCTTGGGTGCAGACGCAGTGCTCCGGAATTGCATAAGACCGTGAGGACGAATTGCAGATGCGAGCAAAACCGCGACAGAATTCCGACGTGCATAATTGCCCACAGCATACCTTCCTCAGTCATTGGCTAGCATGGAATTTGCTCTTAAACACGTGTGGTAGCAAGACAGGCAGCATGCCTTACATGCCCTCAGACTCCGACCTTTCAAGCAGACTTCCCAAGGCGCAACCAATCCTCCACCATTGTTGCTGTGCGTGCGGCCGGCGCGCCTCAGATGGCAGGAGATACTTCAGATCTGCATACCACTTGTTGGCTGTCGCGGAACAAGAGTTCAGGGTTTGCTTTTGCAGCTTCAGGCCGAGGGTAGAGAGGAGGCTGATAGATGGATGGATAGGGAGAGGCCTGCTAATCCGCTTTGCACAGGTAGGAGGTCTCCGGATTGATGAAGTATCCCCCACTGATCTATACAGAGGCCTTTAGCATGCTTGATTTGGGGTTTTCGGGGTTAGGTTTGTGAAAAATGAAGCTTACCGCTTTGAATTTAGATGATGATGGTGAGCCCAACAGACGCGTATATAGAATGAACGAGGTAGCCAAGATCTGATCCTTGAGGTGGTCTTGGGACTCGCTGCCCTGCGTGATGCGCTGCAGCCAACTTCGCGTGAGGCCGCTGTGCCAGCATCTTTTCGTCGGGTTTCGATATTGGGATATTGGGGGGGGGGGGGGGGNNCTTCTTACCAGAAGAAGAGGGGGGCCTGGTGCCTTATAGCCTTATAGTGCGGATCTAGGTGTTTACGCTTCTTTCATGAGTTATATACTAGGGCCGCAGCTGTTCGAGCATCACACCGGGTGTTAGACTCCCGCCAGTGGAGTTACCAAGAACTGGGGGTGTAGGGTCAATTGGGGCTGAAGGTTAGGTTCGGGGGTTTAGGCTGACAGTGGCTTAATTTAAATTGGAGCACCGGAACACGAATGAAGCGCATCTGCAGCTCGAACCCACTTTCAAGTCTTTCTGCTCGAAGCTCAGAGCCTGCTTTGAGAGGTCATCCAAGAGCTCGAGAAGGCGGGGACAGGGGATGATGCAGGGCTAATGTGATAGATCGACAATCCGTGCCGAACGCCTCGAAGCCAGTGGAAAAAGAGTAGTAGCTCAGCAATGTGTGGCATAACGTTCTGAGTGTTTATCAGGAGGGTAGATGTTAAGGATATAGGTTAAGGATTGGATGCACCACAGCAGGGTAAGATGTTCCGCTATCGTTGCTCTGCGGCCTCTGAACGGTCAACAAGATTGCTGCTGTTTGTCTGCTTGGATAGCCGAACACTTACTTACTCCTCGCGAGCCTACAACGAAAGGATAAGACGATGCTGGAGGCCAAAAGACCATTCCCAGGCACCCATATTCATAATAATACCAACAATAATTGACAATAATGACGATAATGATAGTACAGCTTCGAGCTTTTGCCTTGCTCTAGCGACAGTTATAGTCAATGCAAGCACTAGTTTGGTTTTTAGTTGTTGGTGCTGTTGTTAGCGGTGCTGAGTTGCTGGTACTGGTAGCGATCATGCGTTTGATGTTGCTCAGCTGGCGACTGCTTTCGTGAAGCGGATTGGTAGTCATACTGTTGATGGACAAAA